TATATATATATATATATATATATATATATATAGATATACAGTCTTTAACTCCAGTATATTCGTTAGGGATATGGAAAGAGGTAGAATTAAACTCTGCTATAACTTTTCATATGTTGAAACCTAATCCCCAATGTGAGGATAGTTGGAGGTTAGGCTTTCAGGAAGTGACTAGATGATTATGATGGAGACTTCCTGAATGAAACTGATGCCATTACAAAAGAAACCCCGACAGAATGCCCTCTCCACTTTCCACTCTAGGAGGCTGCAGTGAGAAGATGGCCATCCGTGAACCAAGAAGCAAGTCCTTCCCAGACACTGAATATACCAGCATTTTAATCTTAGGTTTCAAAGCCTCCGGAACTGTGAGAAATAAATTTCATTGTTTTGAGGCCACCCAGTCTATGGCATTTTTGATACGTCAGCCCAAACAAAACAATCTCTCTCATCTCATGAAAATGTTCAGAATATTTCACCTTATGCTTTTATGATATCTTAAGCAGTAAATCATGGACCATCAAATCTACAAAAGCTGGAAACAGATTTAACTCAAACAACTCACAAGAATCTAGCAAATAATTGATGTTCAGAAAGTATTTTTTCAACCAAATGGGATTACATTTATAAGTTAGTTCCCTTTCCAACTTTGTAGCTCAATTTTCTTCACTATAAAATAAAAAGGTATAGACTACATCAGTCGATTTCTGAGGTCCCTACTGGTGCTGAAATTCTATGACTCCACCTTGCATATCTTTTGAAAATATTCAATTTCTCAATTCAAGTCATTCAAATGTTTACAAATTAATTTATTATAAGCCTGTGGATCCCAGCTGTTGAAATTTTGGTAGCTGCCTGACTTCCTTCTGTCTGGAGTGGCTGAGGCTGTGTCTATAAAATGTCAAAACAATCATTGAGCTCTGTCAAACAGCTCATCAGAGCTGATGGAAGGGAGGGCAGCCAGCTCCCCAGTCTGCAGGGAGTAGTCAGCTCAGTTAAAATGTTTATTCTGTGACCTCAGGCAGATATGAGTCTCGTTGTCTAGATCATTAGGGTCTCAAAGGCACAGGCTCAACATCCCCTCTAACCACAGGAAAAACAAATTATGGAAAACATGTGAGCCTTGAGATCCTTTCTGTTAAAATGTTTGGCGACCCATTCTGTGCTATGAGAATGTGACCTTCCATATTATTACTAACAGTGATGATGCCGTGGAATACATAGCAAACTATTGCCAAAATTTATATTTTCAAGTAGGATTAAAAGACTTTCTTAGATTTGTGTTTCTATGGTGTTTGAATTTAAAACATGAACTTATATTAATTGTATGCCAGAAAACTAATTAAGAGGAAAACCCCTCTCAATATTGTTTTGTGATAATTTTAACCCCTTGTCCCTAGACAGAGAGTTACTTGAAATCCTGATGCTGCCATGTACCCATACCTAACATCTTGAAGATTACTCATTTACATGTAATGTGGTCCACCTCCCAAAGGCAGTGAGAGGACTTACAAGGTGATTCTGAAAACACAACAGCCTAAATATCAAGGAAATAATGTTTTCTTATTAGATCTTCCCAGCAACCACGGTTCTGTGGCTCATTTTCTTACTTCCCGATTTATGCATGATATAAGAAGTAAATCGTTTTAGGCAACAAGGCTGGTTAGCTCACAGGTTTCTTTTCCACTTGCATATTTTATGCTTATCTTTTATGCTTATATTTTATGCTTATCTTTTTAAGATGAGGGTATCACTTGCATATTATTTTCTTATACAAAGACAAAAAATATAAGTATCTAAGTAGAAAATCAGCTAACAAACCTACTATTAACAAAAGAGTTTTCACCGTCTTGGGCAGCAGTGAAGAAAGAACCACGAATCTAAGCCCTGTTGAAATCTGACAAATGCAATTTTCCCAGCTTTATTTATCTCTATAAACAATTAAACAGGAGGCAGAAAAGATGAAAGAAAAAAATAGTTCATTTCAACCAACACAAGCTTTATCCTTTGTGCTTTCTTCCCTTCCCCCACTTTAACTGCAGCTTCTACAAATGCCTGTGAATTTTTAACATATGGAGGCTCTATCTCATATTTCACAGTTCTTGAAATGACAGATAGTGCACAGGTTGTCACTGTGAATGGCAGATGCAAAGACCGGGAGGCTCAGCTGCCTCCACAATTCAGAGGGGAACTGTTGAGTGGTATTTCTTTACCATTCCAGGCAGGCCTTCCAGCTGTTGGACTTTGTATTTAACTTTTTTGAGCCCCAATTTTCTCATCTGTAGAATAGGAATTTTGATATCTACTTCATAGAGTTTTTAAGAATTAAATGAGATAACATACAACCGAATAGATGAAATTAAGAGTAAAGTACCTAGCACAGGGTTTGGTAGATGCGAGGTGCTCAAACATTACTTGCTGTTTATGAAAACATTGTGGTGTAAGGGCCTGGACTCAACCAGCAGCCTGGGTTTGAATCCTGGCTCTGCCATTTACTAGGTGTTCACTCGGGCAAGTCCTTTATCCTCTCTGCTGTGCCTCTACAGAGCATAAATCATGGTAATGTATATCTGATAAGGATACAAAGTGCTTAAAACAGTATCTGGCCCTATTTAAGTGTGAAATGAAAATGCAAAGAGCTTATACATCATTTAAACTGTGTGGGAAAGAAGGAAGCACTGGACACCACCTCCAGTCACTCATGGCACCGTCCCTGGTCCCAGAATCCAACAATACTCCTTGCTCCCTCACTTCCCCCTGACTCTGTTTCTATTTTTCCTGGAAACTCCTCACCCACTCACTCCTGTGTCAGCCTGTGGCTCTGTCTCTGGCTTTTCCATGACTGTCTCTGAGCTTCTTCACCTTCTGTGCCTCACCATGTGTCTTCACTCCTTTGCAGAAAGGGTTTGGTTGGTGTAGCTACTCACCCTTGGCTCCACTCCTCTAAGACATAGCTCTCAGGCCAGGCAACTGCAGAAGCCAACAGGTCTCCCTCGAGGCCAGTCTCCAGTCTCTAGTTGTGACCATGGCTGCAAATTCATGTGATTCAAAATCCAGCAACTTCTGTCCTAGGGTGGTGGCGGTGGGGTGAGCATTTCAAATTATGGTTTAGTAGTAACCATTAAATTATTAAATCCAATTCTCTCATTTGATAGATGGCATCTTAGTCTGTTTGTGGTACTACAGCAAAATACCTGCAACTTGGTGATTTATAAAGAACATAAATATATTGCTCACAGTTCTGGAAGCCAGAAGTCCAAAGTCAGGGTACCAACAGGGTTGCTGTCTGGCAAGGGCCTTGTGTCTGCTTCCAAGATGATGCCTGCCTCTGCATCCCCCAGAAGAAACAAATGCTATGTTCTCCATGGCAGCAGCATAGAAGTGCAAAAGGGCCTAGCTTGGTCCCACCGACTATTTATAAGGCAAATAATCCTGTTTATGAAGGGGAAACTTTCATGATCTCATCACTCCAAAAGGCCCCACCTCTTAGTACTGTTGCATTTGGGATTGTTTCAACACAAATCTTAGAAAAAAATGCAAACATTCAAACAATAACAGATGGGGAACTAGGATGGGGAACTATCAGCCTGGGGAAGTGACCTGCTCAGTATCACACCACTCTACAAGGTAGAGCTCATACCAGTGCTTGTTTCACTCCAAATTGCATCTTCTTCAAACCTCATAAAGTGCTCCGTAAAGACTAAGCACTGGAGAGCTTCAGGGCCCATCCCCTTCTATGTGCTCCCAAGGGATGTAGTATATATCCCTGTCATGGCACTTAGGGTCCCTAAGTCATCAACCTGACTAGGCTGTGAACCACAGAAGGCAGGGGCCTTGTCTTCCTGTCTTGTCATTGTCTTGTCACTTCCTGTCTTGTCAGTGCCCAGTGCCAGGCACTAAAGTAAACACCCATGGAATAAATAAGTGAATGATTGAAAATCTGTTGGATGAGCAAAAGCTGAATAAGACTTAGGTGGGACAAGGGTATGATGAAAAGTCCTGGAAAGATAGCTATACAGTAAGAATCTTCTTATCTGAGGATATAAGGCTAATCATTCATCAGTTAACTTTTTAAGTTTTAAGTTAGGGAATCAAATCAGAGAACCATAGAAAAGTGCCTTAATGTGAATTGCCACTTCTTCCTAATATTCCTTCTCCCAGTCTCTCTTGAAGTCATGGAAACTCAAATTTGAGCTGGCTATGAGGTCAGTCTTCTAGATAGACTGCATATTTCCAGCCTTCACGGAGCCACAAAACAAAGTTCCAACCAACAGGGTATGTCAAAGTGACGTGGGCAAGCTCCATTATATCATGTCCTGTTGCTTCACTGGACATGACACAACTGCTGCCTTTGATAGCAATTTCTATAAGTTACTCATTATAATAAAGTTTTCAAAGGAAAAGCAACTCAGTTTTGTGGAAATAAGCTCTATTTCATATTTTACCAATTTATATAATATATTGACTTATAGATTAACAATTTCAACTACAACTTGCTGAGAGCCATAGCCAAGTAGGAAGGAGGCATGGCATTTTTGGTTGAAAGGTGATGCCAGCAAGCCATTGAGATGATAATGATTATGTTAAGATGTGCATTCAATTGGAGATTAGACCCCTTAGACCCCTGCTGTCTGCCTCAGCCTGCTACTTTGGAGCTCTTGCAGGACTCCCAGAGAGTTCCCATTGGTTGGGGAAGTGCGGTAGGAGGGAATTCCAGAGGAGGGATTTCCAGTTGGTGGAGTGTGTCCTGGGAGAAGGCCGCGTGCATGGCATTCGCAGGAGTTTTGGAAATAAAGTTTGTTCCTGCTTGAGTGGCTCGTGATTTTGTGCCCAGCCAGACTGCGACAACAACTGGAATAAACAGCTTAGAAACAAATAAGCCTAACTCCTGGTAAGTGAAAACTAAGAAGTAGTAACATTCAATTAGTGGAGTGAAAGTCTACATGCAAACCAGAGTGTGGCCTCTTAGCTGCAAGAACTCCACCTCCCAAAGGTATCAGTCAAAGTATTCAGAGGAGATATGGCCCCAGTTTACCTGGTAAGCCAGTAACATGAAGTTAAGAGAGGTTCTACCAAAAAATGAAGGGAAAATGCATTTGGAATCTTGGAAGGGAAAACTGGGCTGGAGAGAGAGAGGCTCCTCTCTTCTGCACAGATATCCCTCTTTGGAGTAGTCATCAGCTGGCAGTCTCACTGCCTGTCACCACCTATCTGGCCTTTCCTACAGCTCAAGCATTCTTAAAGAAGCAGCTTCTCAGATCTGCAGCCTTGCTTCAAGGTAGGAGGTGATGGCCATGAACTGCATCAGTACACAGCTCCTTATAAAATGGTAGAAATAAGGGGGTTTTGCATTTCATGTGGGGAGAGGGAAAGTGGGGATCTTTGGACTCTTTTCAGGGCATGCCAGGACTTCAGGAAACAATTATGTGCAAAGAAGCATGATGGGCTTGGCAGATCCCTTCCCTGGGGCTATTTGCTCACAAGAACAGCCCCCTGGAAAGCAGGGCCCACTCCCACCATGGGACATTTACCCAAGAAAGGACATCAGACCAGTTCAGTCCTAGAAGCCAAAGAAAGGAGAAGTTTGCCAAAAGCAATCGTGTCCAACAACAGGGAATAGAAGGAAGTTTGGGGGGGGGTTGTTTATGTTTTTAAGCGGTAGCATAAAGAACAGGAATTCTGTGAATGTTTCTCCCATTAGGTGTGTGTGCCAGCTTGCCCTAGAGAGTTACCAAGGCTTCTATACTCCCATGCTATTTTAGGATGAGTCACAGTCATTTAATTATGTATTTACTTGTCTAGATCCAGAAAAACTGAAAGCCTTTCAAGGGCAGCTTTATAGTTCAGGAACCAACACACACATAGATGCTCATTAATCTTATGACTGAATGAAAGAAATGCTATGCAATAACTAGAGGATTTTTTCAAAGATCTCACTTGACCTTCTTCCAAAACACTGTGAATTAAGAAAAGCAGGCTTTACTATCCCAATCTTATAGATGAGAAAGCCAAAATAACTGCTAGAGTAAGTGGCAAAGTCTTCACAATAGAACTTCAGACTCTTGAGAAGTCCCCGGGGGCTGGGGGGAATGATAAACCATCACTTCCTGGTGGAGAAGATGAGTCAGATCCTGGCTCAGGGACACCAGTGAGTTCCAGAACCCAGGGTTGAGCCCAGGGATCCTCCCAGCCCAGCCTACTGTCCTTTTACTCTACACATTTCTGTCTGGATATCATCTGGTTGTTTAAATACTGATACTGACAGAGTGAGAGAGAGAAGAAAATGATGAGGAAAGACCAGGGGAGCTCACAGCATGGCACCTGGGTCTTTGTCAACCCTGCCAAGAGAAAGGAGGTCAAGCATTCACTAGTCCAGCTGTGCCAGCCACCGTTTGGGCCCTGGCTGCTGGCAGATACGCCAAACCCCAAAAACTTAATTTTTCTGACCAGCTTCTCTGGACCCTTATCAGAATTTCATTGACTTTAAAAAAAAAAAAAAAGAAAGAAAGGAAGTCTATCCTCCCACCATCCCACTTAAACTATATTAGCAAATATTTGTCCCAATACTGAAGAAAACATGCCCATAATGCTTGGCACTTTTGTCAGGGGCAGCTCTCTCACTGCCTCCTTTCTATTGGGCTTCCCCACAAATATTTGTCCGTATGAGACACAACCACTTAACATGAAATGGTCAACCGTGAAGGACTCTTCTCAACTGCAAAGTGCATTCAAGTGGCCAGCTGACACCTGGAAATGGTAAGTGAGGGAGTTCATACCTGGAAATGCTCACAGACCACAAAGAGCAGGTGGCTTCTGGGCAGAGGGATGGGGGACAAGCTGCTGCCAGTCCTGGCCCAAGAGAAACCATTAGGAGCCCCTCATCTAGTAGGAGAAATGGGGGATTCCCATTTCACCCATTCCCCTGTATCCCACACATTCAAATACCTGGAATGGCCACAGAAGGGAGATGGATGTCCTAGACGCCTTTTTGAGATCTACTCCCCCACCTCATGGAAATTCACAGTGCTCTGTCCAGGGTTGGGCCAATTTCTGAGGCTTATGCTCTCATGATTCAGGTCCTAGGTCTGTGCAACTGCCTTTGTTTGTCCCATTGCCTTTTGCTCCAAGAAAATCCACATGTGCCAAGCATTTGTGCATTTAAGAGAGGCAAGAAGGAGGCATCCCATCAAAGAGTGCAGGTTTCTACCATCTAGATCCCATCCTATAACACACACAGTAGAGACACAGAGCCCACGTGTCCTCCAGAACAGTGCAGCTTCCTACCTGTGCTTCCCTACTTCTCCACCTGAGCACTTTCTCTAGGACTTAAAACTTTCCCCACCTCCACACTGGAAAGCAGTATGGAGATTCCTCAGACAGCTTGGAATGGAACCACTGTTTGATCCAGTTATCCCACTCCTTGGCATATACCCAAAGGAGTTAAAATCATCATACTACAATGATGTAGCCACATTAATGTTTATAGCAGCTCAATTCACAATATATAAGCTATGGAACCAGCCTAGGTGCCTTTCCACAGATGAAAGGATAAAGAAAATGTGGCATATATACACAATGGAATATTATTCAGCCATAAATAAGAATGAAATTATGGCATTTACCAGTAAACAGATGGAGCTGGAGACTACCATGCTAAGTGAAATAAGCCAATCCCCCCAAAAACTGAATGTTCTGGTATATGGATGTTAAAACACAAGAAGGAGTTGGGAGGGAAGAATAGAAGTTCATTGCATTAGACAAAGGGGAATACATGGAAGGGAGGAGGGATGGGACTAGGAAACACAGTGAAATGAAGTGGACATAACTTTTTTCCTGTGTTCATATATGAATACACCACTAGTGAAACTCCACATCATATACAACCACAAGAATGGGATCTTAATTAGAATAAGTTGTACTCCATGTATGAACAATATGTCAAAGTGTACTCTACTGTCACGTGTGTCTAAAAGGAACAAATTTTAAAAAGGAAAAAAAAAAAAAACTTGTCCCAACCCAATGGGATACCCAGAATTGCCAGCCAGGGACAACTCTCAACCAATAAGAACCAAAAGTATAAAAAAATACTTTCCCCAACTCTAGATGGTACTATTTTGAGGTATATTCATTACAGTGTCAGTTGGTCCTGGTTGAGCCTGTTGCCCACAGTGAAGCCTCACTGAAACATCATTGATGACTTCTCTTTCCTGTCTCGCATTGACTTCCTGGGATCACCTCCAGATAAACTACCTGCACACAACCCCTTATCTCCAGGGACCTCTTCAGACTCTGAGGCTTCTCTTCTGTTATTCAGATACTCATTTCCCTTTTCCAGTACTGCAGACTCAGCTGTCCTAGAGGGCTCAGTGTTGTATTTTCCCATCACAGGTGACTCTCT